GGGGGGGGGGAAGGGGTCAAACAGAGCTCAAAGGCTAGGTAGCTGAGCCCGAATTCAGGACGGATTTCAATGATTCGGAATTTCGGATTGCCCTGCCAGACCAAGTGGCGATATCAGTGTCCATTGACACGAGATCGTTTTCTGACTCCTTCTCTGCACCTGAAAAATGACTCAAATGATGCTGTTGCAGGGTATTAAAAAAGGGACAGGAAAAGGTCTGGCGATATCAGTGGGACAAGAGATAGTTTTCCGCCCCTTTCTCTGCACCCGGACAATGAAGCTGTTCACCGGGCCCACTACATATAGCCGAGATGTGCCACAGGAATGGAGGGATCCATACGGGTGAAAACTCAGGAGCCGCTACATAGCTGCAAGGAAATGGGCAGCAAGAATGACAATAAACCAGATTGCAGAATTCCATAGAAATCCGAATGATTCTCAGCACGATAGAAAGCAGATTGTAAACGGAGAAGCCGGACCGGGCTAGCTGAGTTGGTTGAGCACGTAAGCGGCACTCAGGAGGTCGTGGGTTCAATACCCAATGTCGGCCTTTCAATTCCCCGAGGCGGCACTCAGGAGGTCGTGGGTTCGATACCCACCGTCGACCTTTCCATCCCCGAGGCCTCCTGGGGGTATGCTTCGGGTTCACCAGTGGAGGTTGTTGGCTTGCGACACCTGGCTGGTTGTGGAAGTAATTGGTTCTTTCCAGCTCGTGCCAGGTGTCGTTAGGAGCTTGGGTAGCACAGAGCAGAGATAGGTAGGTGGAGACCCATAACCCAAGGAAAGCTTAGCTCTTGCTAGTGAATTTAAGCTTCGCCCTTTCTTCCATAGGTAGGGTAGGCTTAGGAGGTAGTAGTATAATGCTTGCCCAGGATGTTCCGTAGTCACCTTGGTAGGGCTTACGACTGAGATGTAGATATGGGTAGCTAGAGCGAGGTAAAAAAGAGCGAAGAAAATAGGGTAGGCAAGCAAAATACAACTGTCCCCCGTATGACGAGAAGACAACAGTATTAAAAAAAAATGAAAGAAAGAAAGATAGATTGCAAACCGAGAATACACCAACAAACCCAAGAGCCTAGCTCAGCGGGTACACCCATGAACTGTTGAAATACAGACCTGTGTTCGAATCCAGATGATGGAAACTTGACAATTGCAACCAACTATTAATAAATTGCTTGGGGTCGGTCAGCTCAATGATAATATCAAAAGACCGTCGCCCTTTTAAAAAAAAAAAAAAAAAAGAATACACCAACAAGTAGGAGGGAAGCACTAAAGTCACATGATAACGAAAGCCTTCGTCTCGCCTCCCATCACCAATGCCAACAGTGTAGCCCCCTCAAAAAAGTAAAATAACTCAGAATGGAGGGGTCCATCTGGGGTGAAAGCTCACAACCACTACATAGCTGAAGGGATACCCATCAGGGTTACAACTCAAAAAACTTGACGTGAAGCGGGGACGACCTCGCAAACGGCAGACAGTACACTGCAAGATAACGATGTAAGAAGAAGAACAAAACAACAACAATTGTAACGACTCCTTGCCGTGCCCTCTCCCCACTACCCCTAACCATACTTCTCCACACCCGTTAGCATTTCTCGCCCATGTTCGGTGGGGGCCATTGCACTGGCATTATTCTTCTCACGACGGGCTTCATTTCCTGGCCTGCTGTGTATTCTCTTTACATGTCCTTCCTTTCATTGGGTACACAACTCCCTTCTAGAGCAAGCTTTCACTGATCAAAAACACGCACCTCAATTGCGAGCACTCGTCCAACTGCTGCTTCGGATTCGTTCCACTTCATCTGTATGCCAAGGCAGGGCTTACCCCCTCCTCTCCAATCAAGCAACGCTAGCAGCACTTGAATTAGGCCCACCCTGGTCCAAAAGACAAACCAAAGGACAGCATTTCTTGTGAGTAACACCTACCCAGGTCCAGGTCCAGAAAATAATCCAAATATAGCCAGGTACAGAGGTGACACTTCCCTAGTTCCAAGGAAACACCAATGAACAACCAGGCACACAGGAAACACCAGCCTGGTTCCAAAGGCGGACCAATGAAGTACCAGACATGCACAGAGACAGAGGCACCAGCCATGCACACAGAAAGAGGTACAAACTTACTACGAAGTACGGACAAAGAGAGGAGGACCCGGGGGCAGGGGGGGCGGGAGGGGCGGAAGAGAGAGCGCCTCCCCCAAGAGAAAGGTGGCGGAGTGGCATTGGAAATCAAGAGAAAGCTTCAGAAAGGTTCACGTCGGGTTTTTTATGGAAAAAAACTGCAGTTCCTTTTCGTATGTAGGCACCTGATGTAGACGAGGGTTCTCCTACTTCTGTCACAGCTTTCTTTTCCAATGACACAATTATGGATTGACGTTGCTTCAATCCGTGTAATCTTCTCACAGGGCCTATATGCTATCTTCCCTTTTCTCTGCATGATTCACACTCTCTGAGTATGACGGCATGACAGTATGTACGCTACAAATGTGAAACAGACAACAACTTTTACAATCACCCATCTCCACACACACCCATTGCCACCTTCCTACGCTATACCACAAGTCACAATATGCCCTTTTATCAGATCATGATCTTGTGTTCTCTCATCTCTACTACTGTTTCCCTCGAGCATACGCATATGCATTGTAAAGAAATATAAGTCGTATAACGCATGGGTTGTTTTCTATTTGAAAACGATTCATACATATTCTATATGAACAGCCGTAATACTAAAACACAACGCACATGAGCTCTACTCGAATCGTCGATTTTCTCAACAACTCCAATACAACGCATATGTGTTATGTTCGGGGGAAGACGGTAGCCTTTACCATACCTCAAAGCTTGAGCTATAAGAGCATCTCTGGCACGATTCCCGGCCATAACAACTCTCTTGAGAGTCTCCAAGGCAAGTACACTCATCCCTGGCCATCCAATTGCCCGCATCAGGAGGGGAATGACCTGCAAAAAAAATGACACAAAATGAATCAAATACATACAGCATGAGAATAACTCTAAATAGGACTGAGGGCATTCTCACGCTACCACTATTCTGAATGTATCTGACCGTAATTACTAATTGACAATTATGGCCAGACCTGAATGCATCAGACTGCAGTTGCGTCCAGAGCCGAGTGCAAAAAGTACTAGTGCGAGTATGACCTGAAGCAGCTGCCTCACTGCATCAAACAACCCCTGCATTGGCCAACAACAGCATCTCACTCATCGTCAGCCACAACATTAATATAATCCCTGCTCCAATTTCTTTTTGGGCTAACGAGTTTGAAATTTGAATACCACATGGGAGTAAGGGACCGCCCGCAACACTGATCCTACGTTTACGGAGGTATAGCAGCGTAAACCCACTCATGAAAATGGGGAGCTTCATGCTTTCACATCATGAACAGTGGGGCCTGCACCTATACCCTGGCATCTCTCACCACATCAAACACCACCTGCATTCCCCTCAAAATACCATTCCCATCCCCAACGAGGGAGACCACCTCCACTCCGCTTTTCATCCGCATTTCAACTTTTTTGTCCCCATTCAGACAAACCACTGCTTCAAGTTCCTCCCTTTGATTCTACCCCTCTTTTCTCCCCATTTCCCCTTCCTCTACCCTGGGGCCTGGCCCTAACTTTGGCAGCACTCACGTCAATCACAAACAGCACCCGCATGTCCTTCTAAATTCAATTTCAATCACGCACAATGGGAAATCGTCTCCCCTCACTCATTTTTGTCCACAGCTCACTCCTTTTGTCTCCTTTCCAGTTGGCCAACACTGAAAATTTCACCCCTTCGTTCCGTGTCGCCGTTCTCCAGTTTTCCATTCCTCTCTTTCTTGCATCGGGCTGAGCTCCCAAGCGATGTCCGTCCAGCAATTAGAGGCACGCCAGCATGCTGCCAACAACCTACAAACAACGTCTAGTGGGAAACCATCTCCCCTGCCCCTGTCCAGTAGAGCCCAGCAGCTCCTGCCCATGGTAACCGAATGAGCTCAACGTAATGCGCGGTCACCACAGTGTAATGACCTGGTCCAACACCTTCTCAACGACCAGAACCTCAGTCCGCTACCCTCCCAAACCATCAAAAGGCGGAAGGTACGAAGAGCTAAAGGCAAAGTTCCGTTCAACACAATTCAACCATTTTGACACTTCCTGACTTTTTCACAAAAACTCAACTTCCGGGTTGAAAATCGCATTCTGCCAGATCGTCGTCACGCCATGCCAGAAAGAGGAAAACCAAAGTATGGCTATTGTTTGGCCATCAAGGAGAAGCTGCGAAGATAAGTGTAAAATACAAAGCACCCGGTCGTAATTTAAGTTTCAATCACAACACACCCCGTTGTCTACTCAAATTACGACACACCCGGTTCTCTACTTTGAATTACAACACACCCGGTTCTCTACTTTCAAGTATGTGACTATTATCTAAATATAGCAGATCAAATTCTTTCTCAGCCAGAAGGAATAGTTCCAAAAGAAATAACAGCACACTTTCAATTACAACACGCCCGGTTCTCTACTCAAATTACAACACACCCGGTTATTGAATGTCCAATGACACGCCCTGAGATAGTGTGCCCGTGGGAGGTTCTAGAAGATTGCTAGAGACGAAGAGAAGGCGAGAGTATGACAAGCAATGGGGAGGGGGGCTAGAAAAGGGAGGAGAGTCGAACTGACCTCAGGTGCACCTGCATTTGGAGTTGCTAGTGCCTCTGCACATGCTGTGCTTGTCGCGAGTTGATGGAGAATACGCAAACAGCTCCCCCTCACCTGCTCTTGTGGAGTTTGTATTAGCACGTTATCGCCAGAGCTCTCTTCACTGTCAGTGATCCCACCTCCTTTATCTGCTGAGGCTCTTACACTCTCTGCATCTGTCTCTTCAGCCATTCGTGTTCTCCCGCTCTCTGCTGCCATTGCCGCAATCAGCTTTGTGATATAGCCTAGATGGGCAACATGGTCTGCGAGCTGTGGCTGTACTCTTAGCAGCGACACAAGAGCCGCAGACAATAACAAGGGCAGTTCAGAATCGCCTCCGAGATAGTGCGTTCCTGCTGCGGCGGTGATGTACTGATCCAAGAGTCCCTCGAGGAATCGCTTCGGATTTCGAAGAGGGAATTTTGGATCCTTTAAGAATAAACGTACGTAGACACCTCCAACCTGTGGGCCATCTCGCAGACCACTCGCCAATTGACCTCGTGGACTGGCATCACCTCCTCCGGAAAGCCTTCCCTGGAAGATCGAATCAGGTACCTCCCACTCAACTCTACCTTGAGTTTGCCCTTTGTACAGATCTGCTGCCATAGTTGCAACTTGTGCTCCAAGAGATGCTGCCATTGCCGGGCTCCAGACTAACTCCGGTGTCTCTGTCGTCTGATTCAGTGCTGCTACGACAGCCTCACCGGGGCCATCTCTCAGAGCAGCGATGAGTCCGTCTGGCAAGAACCTCCCCAAGGTGATTGCAACACGTGGACCATGTAATGGCTGCGCCACAAGCTTTCCGAGCAAAGACGCGGCCGCTGCCCTGTGCGATGCTGAGGTCTCCTCTGCCCACATACATTCCAATTACACAGAAAAATGTGTGAGGATCAGAAACTTATGTTCGCTGGTAAGCCCGGTCCAAACTGAAGCAATGGAAGGTGGAGCAGGCATTCATATGGGTGCTCTGAGAGAGAGAGAGAGAGAGAGAGAGAGAGAGAGAGAGAGAGAGAGAGAGAGAGAGAGAGAGAGAGATCTATATATGAATATATACATCTATGATATTGTAAATGAAAACTAGAATCAAATAGATTACTATGAAACAATAACATATATGCAGAGAATAGACTGCTCTTGCTAAGACTACGCAAAGCCGACAGCTTCGAGGCTGAGAGGAGCAGGCGCCAGCCGGACCCCTGGGTTCTGCAATACGGTGGTAGGGGCTTAGGGGTTACACAGCGGTGTCGATCGTCTGGGCTGGGCATAGGGGATACAAGTAACGATCAGGGTTTGCAAGTTGGTGGTAGGGGTTTAAGGATTACGAGGCGGTGTCTATTGTCTTGGTTAGGCATAGACGATACAAGTAACGATTAGAGCAGGTGCGAGCCTGACCCCTGTTTTTTGCACTCAGGGGAGGGGGTTTAGGGTTTAAACAGCAGCTTTAGTCACCGAGGCTAGGGATAGAACATACAGGCGACGTTCAGGACAGACAGGATCCTGCCGCGAGTGGAGGCTCGTAAGCTAAACTGGGTAACAATACCAGGATTAAAAAAAAAAAAAATAAAAAAAAAAAGGGCTACCAGAATAACCCCGGGTTGGATTGTGAGGTCCCCAACCTCATATTTGCCTTTGGAATGAAAACAAAAAAAAAAACGAAAAGTCAAGAAAAAAAGGAAGAGAAAAGAAGAAAAAGCTGTTTGTAACTTCGTATTGCAATGCAACATCAACATTACTTTCCTCCAGACAGTTTGCCTGGCCAGATTTCACAATCCTAATCCTATACAAACTGGACTGTCAATGAACTTTCAAAAACAGTTCAAAATTTGCATGTTTCCGATTGTTTCGTGCTTTACGCAAGGGCCATGCTAATCATCTCAATCCCGTTGAAATTAGAGGACACTTTCGACTTTCAAGGCTTTAGCGAGGAAGCAACCAGAAAGCGTCAAAGACTCCAAGCTTCATTAGAACATCCAGGACTCAAAAGGCTTCACTAGCACAAAAAATCAGAGTAATCAAAGCTTTATTTGCAAAATCATACCATTCACTGGGAGAAGCTGCTCGAGGACATAAAGTGTTCCACCATACTTTGCAGTGGCCCATGCAAGCTCTGGTGTACTTGCAAGAGCATAGAGAACACGAAGGGCAAGCTGGTGGCATCGCGGTGCCGAGTGCAGCAGCTGAAGAATGAGTAGAACAGCACTCTTCTCAGGTGATGCACTTTTATCAGCTACCATAGCTTCTACTGATGCTGCATTCGCTGTTAACCGGCTCAAAACTGCAAGAGCAAGCTCCGGAACCTCGCGGCTCTCTGCTGACGTATCTGTCAGACACCCCAGGAGT